TTGGCCCAAGATGGCGTCCAAGATGGCCCAAGATGGCCTCCAAGTCGCCAAAGATGGTCCACGATGGCTTCCAAGACGACCCGAGAGAGTCCAAGATGCCTTCAACTTCGTCCAAGAAGCCTCCAAGACGGCCCAAGATGGCTCCAAGATGGCCTAAGGCTGGCCAAGAGGCCCCCAAGAGGCCTCCAAGACGTCCTCCAGGAAGGCCCGAAAGGGTAAAAACCATTGATTCTCTATTGGTTGCTGAAGGATTTGGGCAGTTTCTTATCATCAGCTCTCCGACGGCCCAAGACGGCCCAAGAGGCCCCCAACATCGTCCCAAGAGCGCCAAAGAGGCCTCCAAGATAGCCCCATGACAGCCCAAGAGGCCCCCAAGAGGGACCCAAGAAGAGCCCAAGACGACCCAAGAGGCCCCCAAGACGTCCAAGATGGCCTCCAAAACGGCCAAGATGGCCTCGAAAATGCCTCCAAGACGACCAAGAAGGCCTCCAAGACGGCGAAGATGGCCCCAAGATGCACCCAAGACGGCCCCAGATGGCCTGAAGATGGGCTTAGACTGCTCAAAAGGCCCGCCAGAGGCCTCCAAGACGGCCCAAGACCCCTCCAAGACGTCCTCCAGGAGGCCCGAAAGCTCGGAAACCCCCTGGTCCGATAGCTCGCCCGACTCCATGTTCCCCGAAAGCTTTCGAAACCCACTCGGGGAACGCGTGGCCCGATAGCTTGACCAAGCTCAAACCCAACTTTCGGCCACGCAGGCGCTTCCAAAAAGGCAGGGGTCGGCGGTGCTTCGCCGTAGGCGTCTTCGAATGTCTTCGATACAAGAGCGAGGGGTGAAGACACACGAGGGAGCGGAAGCGGGGGACCCTGAGATCCTGGCGACTCAATTTTTTCGAGTCGGGCGTTTTTGCCTTTTTCCGGGCCCCGGCACCCTCACAGATCGATCGGGCTCGAAAAATGATGCATGATGCAGAAAGATGAGGTCCAGGGCTCTGGGCGCGGATTGTTACGATGCCACTGCGTCGGATCTCAGGGAAATGCCCCCCCTGGAGGAAGCAGGCCGGCCGAGGGCGCAGGACTCTCGGACCGAGCGATCACGAACCAGGAGCGGACCAGATCGGTCGGCCACGCGCAAGAGCGACGGAAAGGCAGAGGAAAACTTTGGTGCGCGGCTTGCCGATCATTGCATGGGTTACGACAGTGGCGGCCTCACCGCTCGGGTTTGGCCCCCCCGCAGCAAAAGGCTGCGCACCAGGGATCACTTCGCCGATGTGTCACCCTGACCTGTGGCCGAATCAGATCGAAGAACGGTCGGGTGCGCGGTCACATCCTGAGATCTGAGCAGGCTCACCGGCCGATCCTGGATGCAGGGACCGCCAGGAAGGATCGCAGCGGGCCCTAGGCAAAAGATCACACTCTGAGGCCGGGGCCACGTCCAAGGAGTCCATCACGCTGGTATGTCCTCCTCCTCCGCTTGCCTCAGCGCTGGATCCGCAGCGCTCTCCTTCATTGCTGCAGCCAACACCCATCGGGGGGCGTTGGGGAAGCCACTGGGTAACACGACTGGCCTGTGATAACACTGCGGATAACTGCAGCAATAGATGATGGTGATGATGATGGTGGTGATGATGCAGGTGATGATGATGATGATGATGATGATGATGATGATGATGCTGATGAGGATGAGGATGAGAATGATGATGTTGATGATGATGATGATAAGGATGATGGTGGATATGGTGATGGTGATGGTGATGGTGATGGTGATGGTGATGGTGATGGTGATGGTGATGGTGATGGTGATGGTGATGGTGATGATGATGATGATGATGATGATGATGGTGATGCTGATGGTGACGGTGATGGTGGTGGTGGTGATGGTGATGGCGATGGTGATGATGATGACGGTGATGGTGATGATGGAGGAGGACCACTGTGGCGACAACAAGATAGATGGCCACATCAATGATGCTGCTCTGCTTCGCTCGTCCCAGCACTCGCACGGACACACGCCACTGTCACCAACCCTTAAAAGAATCCCACACTGGCTTAAAATGCAGCTCCAACAATCAAATTGGATATCGCCACATCATTAGCATCAGCAGCGACGCCTGTAATTTCATCCTTCCGACCGCCATCACCACCTGCACCAACGCTCCTCATCATCTGCGTCGCGGTCATCATGATCATCATCACCACCGCAATCATCCTCATCGCTATCATCATCATCATCATCATCATCATCATCATCATCATCATCATCATCATCATAATCATCCTCATCATCACCATTATCCTCATCATCGTCATCATCATCGTCATCATCAGCAGCATCATCATCGTCATTACCATCCTCATCGTCATCATCAGCACCGTCAGTATCGTCAGCATTGTCATGTTCAACGTCGCCGTACCCGCGGTCGTCAGAACAATAATCAAGAGCGCCGTTGCAACACTCGTACATGACCTGACCATCCAAATCCTGTCCATTAATTCGCCTCCCCGTCATCCAGATGCTATCCATCAGCGAAGGACATCGTAACATGTTGGCCTACGTTCCGCCCATCCATCAAGTCCTCGTCGTTCGTGTCTTCTCTTGTCCTCGTCGTTCCTGGAATCGTCTAACTCCTCATCTTCATCCTCATTTTCCTATATCCCTCTGTTTCCCCCTCTCGGTGGCGAAATTTTTCTCAGGCACCCAGAAAATTAGAAGGCGCGGAAGGGAACAACGATGACAACAAAGCCACCAGGGAAACGATACCAGAAGCGGACAGCGCTGCCAAAGCACCAGAAGTGGTGCGACGCGGCTACGGCCGCGACGGGCGGACAGATGCGCACGGGGGCAACTGCAGGCAGGCGGCATGGACGTAACGCTCCCCCCTGCTGCCCGTCCACCGAACCCTCAGGCAGCGCAGTACTACACGCCACTCACCTGTAAGAGCGGACTTCCTCCGTACATACGCAGTCACCACCGCACATTGCAATGACGACGATGTCTGAGCCACCAAGTCGATGACACAGACAGCGGAGGTTCAAGTCATCCTCGTCGCCGATGCACAAGTGCAGCCTGTAACTGATGAAGAACAATTCACCCCGATGGCCGAGTGCCTAGAGCGTCAGAAATTCAAGGCGTTCCTGAGGAGCCGTAGTACCAAGCATCAAGTACGAAACGGAGTACCTCCTCGGTGCATCTCAGCTGGAGGGTTTCTGCGACGTGGGAAAGAGTTCCAGGAGGCGCCAAACCGATAACGATGCCCCCTGACAGTGACGATCGCCAACATCTAATACCAAGATGTATCACTGCGTTGAAGATGACAACCGAGCACGGGAGGGAAAAAGCTGGACCGTTTGTGAAAGATGCTCGTCGGTATTGGAGCGTTCATGATTGCTGAGATCACGGACAGGATATACATATATATATATATACACGTATAGAAAACATGTCACATGCCTGATTGAGAATGCAGAGGCTTGGAATCGGAACAAAACGCGCTTCCCTCAATTATCCTCCTCCTCGTGCATGCCATTACTCCTCAACCGTCCTGGCATAGGTTCGAATACCCATCATCATCACCAGCATCATCATGATCGCTAAGTTATTATCAACAGCAACAAAGACAACACCATCATCATCATCATCATCATCATCATCATCATCATCATCATCATCATCATCATCATCGGCAGCAGCAGCAGCAGCGTCATCAACATCATCATCATCATCATCATCATCATCATCATCATCATCAGCATCAGCATCACCATCATCATCATCATCATCATCAGCATCAGCATCATCATCACCAGCATCAGCATCGTCATCAGCATCATCATCATCAGCATCAGCATCTTCATCATCATCGGCATCATGATCATCATCAGCATCCGCATCCTCATCCTCATCCTCATCCTCCTCAATATCATCATCACCATCACCATCGCCAGCGTCATCGTCGTCATCATCATCAACCTCAACACCATCATCATCATTATCATCATCATCATCACCAACATCATCATCATGACTGACAGCATCGTCGTCATCATCGTCATCATCGTCAGCATCGACATCATCACCATCAGAATCCTCAGCATCATCACCATCATCATCATAATCATCTCCATCAGCATCTTCACCTGAATCATATGTTACCAATCATTGAAAGCACCATCAGCATCATCATCATCACCATCTGCATCATCTGAGATCCATCATCAACAGCACCATCGTCATCGGCATCGTCGTTATCAGCATCATCATCATCATCATCATCATCATCATCAATGACATAATCGCCATCCGCCCCATCGGTACATTCAACAGAATCAGCATACTGGTCATACTCGTCGTCACCATCATCGTCGTCATCATCATATCATCATCATCGCCGCCATCATCATCATCATCATCATCATCATCATCATCATCATCATCATCATCATCATCATCATCATCATTGTCGTCGTCATCATCATCGTCACCCTCATGAGTCATGAGTATCCTCGCCATGGACATCATCCGCATGAACATCACCTGCGTCATCATCAGCATCATTATTTGCATCCTCATCGTCGTCATCATTATCACCACCACCACAGTAATCATCAGCACCACCACCATCATCATCACCACCACCGTCATCAGAGTCAGCATCATCAGAGTATTGGCAGTTTTGTTGTTAGCAGTATTATGAAGGGTATTCGCATTGTTCTGAGTACTCGTTGTCTTATTCGTCTTCGCATTCATCAGAGTCATCATCATCATCACCATCATCATCATCAGCATGATCATCATCATCATCAGCATGATCATCATCATCATCATCATCATCATCATCATCATCATCATCATCATCATCACCAGCAGCACCCCATCAGCAGCAACAGCATCATCATGGACCCCCTCCTGCGTCACCTGCTCCTCTCTACAGCGGCAGCCCGCGGCGCTGGGCGCACCGTTCGATGGCACCGTGGACCTGCTCTGGTCTCCCGATGACGGTGACCTCGCGCGGACAAGACAGGTTCCGAACAACGGGTCGACTCCGCCGTTTCTCAAGCAAGAAAGAGGCGGGCAATGCGCAGAGCCTCTCAGCACGCCTTCTCAAAACCGAGCTGGGCATGGCAACGCTTTACGCGTGCTCGCTGGGCTGACGTTACAGGCATGAGCTGGCACTCGTGCGGCGCAGCTCAGGGACTCTCGGAGCGCGTCCGCACTCTCAGGTAAGGTGAGGACTTACGGGCAGGTCAGGTTCGATCGTTCTTGTTACTCGATCCTGCTGACGTAAGCGGTGAGACTGGACCCCGATGCTCCTCATCCATCGACCGCCTTTTGCTGGAAAAAAATCGGGGTAACCAGAATCATCGTCCGAGGCAGCCGGCTGATGTTCGAAGCACTGCCCAAAAACTGGCGTACGCGATCGTCTCGGAAGAGATCCGCAACAACCGCACCCCGAGGGGAAGCAGGAAGGGAGCAGCTGGAGAAGAGTGAGGGGTGGAGGCGCAGCAAATACTCGCACTCGCGGACTCCACGGCCAACGTTTCCTGCAGATCGGCACGTCTTGTGGCACCAAGTAACATGCAACCTATACGACCACTATTTGGGCGATGGGGAATTGGGGAGGATGGGCGCACCTTTCGAACCACGACTAACGTCGACTCACGCGTCGATATAAATATGCACACAACTATGAAAACATAGATTTGTGTTTTATCATATGGATAAACAGTTTCTATATACATATATACAAAACTACATACATGTATCCATCAATCCATCCATGCATACATGCATGCATGAATGCATACACGCACGCACGCACGCACGCACGCACGCACGCACGCACACACGCACGCACGCACGCACGCACACAGACAAACATACATGCATGTCTACACACATACCTACATATATACATGCATGCACGCACGCATGCATGCATGCATACATGTATACATGCATACATGCATGCATGCATGAATACATGCATACATGCATACACACACGCACGTATATACATACATGCATGCATGCATACATACATGCATGCATTCAAACGTGCCTTAATGTATGCCTCAATGTATACCTTACAAACATACCTTACATGCATACATGCATGCATATATGCATAACTATATACCTACGAACAGACAAACAAACATGCATACGTGTATACGTGTATTCGTACATACCTGTATACATACATCGAAACATACATATGTATATACATACATACATACATACATACATACATACATGCATGCATGCATGCATGCATGCATGCATACATGCATACATGCATACATGCATACATACATGCATGCGTGCATGCATGCATGCATACATACATACTTACATGCATGCATGCGTGCATACATACATGTATTCATGCATACATGCATGCATGCTACATACAGGAATAAATATATATATGTATGTATGTGCATACATGCACGCATACATGCATATATATATATATGACAGAAATACATAACCACACATACATACATACATACATGCATACATGCATGCATGCATATATAAATACAGACATGCATGCATGCATGCATACATACACGCATACGTGCATGCATACATACATACATACCTGCATCCATACATACATACACACATACATACATGGATGCAAACATACATACTGACATGCATGCAAGCATGCATGCATTCATATATATATATATGTACATACATACATACATACATACATACATACATACATGCATGCATGCATGCATACATACATACATACATACATACATACATACATACATACATACATACATACATACATACATACATACATACATACATACATATACATACATACATACATACATACATACATACATACATACATACATACATACATACATACATACATACATACAGATGTGTGTGTATCGGAAGTTGAGGGTAAGATCCAAGTGGATCGGAGAGCCCCCAACCTGAAAAGCGGTCTCGGCTTCGGGTTCTTGTCGCGCGTGTGGGCGAGGCGAAGCTGCGTTGGCAGTCGAGAGGAATAACTCCGCTGCGGCTAGGGAGGGTCAAGAGCCGTTGACCGCCCCTCCTCCCTCCCATGTGGGCGGGCGGTGGCCGGGTTGTCCCGCCGTGGTGTCCCGTCGCTGTCCGCCGCTCCCTCGCGGTCGGCGGGAAATGGCCCAGTTGTCCACCCGTTTTCTCCCGTCGTAGTCCCATCGGTGTCCCGTCGGTGTCCCGTTGATGTTGCGTCGGTGTCCCGTCGCTGTCCCGTCGGTGTCCCGTCGGTGTCCCGTTGGTGTCCCGTGGGTGTCCCGTCAGCGTCCCGTCGGTGTCCCGTTGGTGTCCCGTTGGTGTTGCATCGGTGTCCCGTCGCTGTCCAGTCGGTGTCCCGTGGTGAGATCTATAGTGAAATCGATAGTGAGGCCTACCGAGTGGGATCGATAGTGGGACCACATCGCGACGCAGCATCGTCACTACGGGCCGTCGCCAACTCGAGGGCGCATCACCAGCATCGTCATCATCACCGCCATCGCAGTTGTCGTAAGTTGGTTCTTTCTCCCCCACACCAACCTCCTTATCACCCGAAAGATGGCCGCATGTGTATATATATATATATATACACAGCCACACACCAATAGATGTGTGTGTATACCAATATACACCATATACTCCGCATCCGATATGAATTGGTTTAGCCAGGAACAAAAATCCTAGGATGGCACCCGCTGGGGCCACATTTCCTGGGGGGCCCAGGAAAATGCCCCTGGTGGCTCCCACAAGCTGCACGTATGGCACCCAAACTGCCCCAGGGCAGTTGACAACTCCCACAGGTGCCCCAAGAGCGCGCCAAGACGGCACACGATGGCCTCAACACTGCCCCAGCCGGCCCTCCCATGGGGACGCCCGCGGGCAGACCCGCGCCTGGTCGCCCTGCCGGTGCCGCGAGGCGCGCCCCCAGGACCGCGCCCTCACATGCGCGCGAGCAGGCGCTCCAGGAGGCGCTGCACGACGGCCACGTTGATGGAGTTGCCGATGAGGCGCCACTGGTGCAGCACGCCCAGCTCGTGCGGCAGGTCCACGTCCGGCGGGAAGCCCTGCAGCGCCATCACCTCCCTGGGCGCAAAGTAGCGCAGCCGCGAGAACTGGCCCTCGCCTATGTCCCTCGGCGTGGGGAAGCGCTCCAGCACGTGCTCCGCGGGAGTGAGGCCGTCCTCCTCCGTCAGGAGCACTGGTCCAGTTGTGCTGAGGCCCCTCAGGCCGAAGTCGCGCTTGCCGTAATTGCTGGTGAAGGTCTTGGTCACAACGGAGCTCCCGGTGGCCACATCCACCGTCGATGTTGACTTCAGGGACTTCTGAAGCAGCTGCACTGGCACTGGCAGCCGATCAGCGCCAGGGCCGCAGAAGTCGCGCACGGGTCTCAGCGGCTCCGGGGGGCCGTCGAAACCCGGCAGGGGCACCTGTGCAGCGCCGCCAGCGCCTCCGCTGCCCTCGCCAGCCACTACTGCCGAAAGGTAGAAGCGCTTGCGAGTGTTCGGGAAGCCAAAGGTGACGGGGTCCAAGACAACCTCCTCAACTTCGTAGCGTGTGTCAGAGGCGGCACCGCACCGTCTCAGCGCCTTCTTCGTCAACTCGTGAGTCTTGGAACCAAAGAACGGCGGCACGTTCTCGAGCAGCAGCGCCCGCGGCGGGTGCTTAAGCAGTGGCAGCACCTCCAACATGTGCAGAAGGGAAGCGGAGCGGGGGTCTTTGTCGTCCCCGCGTTTGCCTGTCTTTGTGAACGGTTGGCATGGCGGGCTCATCAGCCACAGGTCCGCGCCCTCGAACGCCTCTGGGGGCATTCGATCGATCGAGACTTGCCAGACCTCGTCTTGGCCTGGGGCATACTCCCAGCGCCGAGTCCCCTTTATGTCCCTCACGTAGTCGGCGCCGAACATTTGCGAGAAGACCTTGCAGCACGTCTCGTCGATATCCATCGCCCTCCACTGCGGCAGCACGGCGCCGTGCCCGACAGCCCCACGGTAGGCCAGGCGCATGCCTCCCATGCCGCTGAAGATAAGGGAACAAAAAACAGCATAAACATCAACTTTGGGACATCCGCGCGGACTCCTCGGATCGGCGCTGGATACCCGGGGCGGCGCCGGAGGCGCCGCCAAGGGGCTCCGGCGCCGATGCGAGAACTGCGCTCAGCCCACAGAAAGTTTCTGCTTCTGTCATCCTCTGCTCCCCGAGCAGAACTCGAAGACCCTGCCGAGCGCGCACAGCTCGTGCCTGAGGGGGCCCGGGAGGACACACAAAGAAGTACACACAAATCCCAGGATCCCCCATATCTTCTCACCTTTTCTGGGTTCTCGTCTTCCCCCCCCCAGGTTCCCATATCTTCCCATATTTTCTGGGGACCCGGCGATGACTTGTGTCTGTGTGCTGCTTCCCCTCCTGAGTGCCTCGCGCCGCGGGGCCACCGCTGCGGCGAGCGGCGGCCCCCCGCGGCGAGCGCCCGCCGGCGGGCGCCGAGGCCGCCGACGAGGCAGGCCGCCAGGGCCCCCGCGGCGCGCGGCCGCCCGCCGGGGCGCCACGCCCGCGGGCCCGCCAGCGGCAGGGGCGCCGCCCAGGCCCGCCCGCGCGCCGCGAGCGCCCGCGGGGGCGCCGCTGGCGTGAAGCCGGGCCCGTCCCCCTACGGGGGAATTTTGGACGACGAATTAGAAGATGGGCAAAAAATGCACCAAAAACGGTCCAAAAATAACCAATAAATCGTCCCCCGACTAATTTTTATGGATTTTTGAATTTTCCTCCTGTAGAGGGACAGGCCCGACTTAACGCTTGGGCGTGGCTCAATGGGGGGGTCAATATTAGGGGGGTCAGAAACAGTCCCCTGTCGTGCCCCTTTCGGGCCCCTCCTGAGCCCCAGGGGGCTCGTTCGGGTACCGGTTGGGTACCTTTCCGGACCACCCTCGCCACCTCCCCACTTATGATCCCCCCCATTACGCAACGCCCAACTGGCGCGGGCGCCGACGGGGCCGGGCGGGCGACCGCCATCCGCGCCGCTCCGGCGGGGGCCCCAAGAGGCGGCTCGCCAGCGGGCTGCGCGCAGGGAGGGGCCGCGCCTCGCGCGGCGAGCGCCGCTGGGGCCTCGGCCAAGCTGTGCACGGGCAGAAGACGCAGCACGCTCTCAGACCTAAGAGCGTCGTCGTCGTCGTCGACGACGACGACGACGAGGGATAGGGCAGTTCGAGGAATGTGCTGATGGGTACGGGTGCGAGCTGTCGGACCCTGAGGGGGACTACTGGCGATGAGAAAACGGCACATGTTTCCCCAACCATCCTGTGGTGTTGGGTCCTCGATCTGAAGAGACTGTCCCCGCGCCTTCTTTCCTCTTCTCTCCTCTCCTCTCGCTTCAGTCCCTTCTCCTTCTCCTCCACCTCCTCCACTCTTCCTCTTCCCTCCTCACACCCTTGCCTCTGCTGACCGCACGTCATCAACGTCACTATCGTCATCATCATCGTCATCATCATGGCACACCCCTCACACGTTTCGTGGCCCCATAGAGAGCTCCACCGAAGGTCCCAGGGGCGCCGCCCGCATGCGTCCGACCCACACATTTCGGCACACACCCCTCACAAGGATTGCGACCCCGTCGGGGGCTCCACCGAAAGTCCCGGGGGCGCCGCCCGCATGCGTCCGACCCACCCATTTCGGCAAGCCCCTCACGAGAACCGCGGACCGTGGCCTCAGAGGGAGCCCCACCAGAAGTTCTATGGGCGCCAAGAGGCTTCCAAGACGTCCAAGATGGCCTCCAAGACGGCCCTGGAGCACCACAAGAAGGCCCCAAGTCGGCCCGGAGAGGCCTCCAAGACGGCTTCCGACGGCGTCAGACGGGCCAGGAATCACATGAGACGGCCGAAGAGGCCCCCGAGAAGCCCCCAAAGACCCCCAAGAGGCCCAAGGAGGCCCCCAAGATGCCTCCAGAGGCTCCCAGGAAGCTCCTAGGAGGCCCCAAGAGTGCACCCAGAGGCTCCCAAGATGCCCCCTTCCTCCTCCTCCTCCTCCTCCTCCTCCTCCTCCTCCCTCCTCCTCCTCCTCTCCTCCTCCTCCTCCTCCTCCTCCTCCTCCTCCTCCTCCTCTCCTCCTCCTCCTCCTCCTCCCTCCTCCTCCTCCTCCTCCTCCTCCTCCTCCTCCTCCTCCTCCTCCCCTCCTCCTCCTCCTCCTCCTCCTCCTGCTCCTCCTCCTCCTCCTGATCCTCCTCCTCCTCCTCCTCCTCCTCCTCCTCCTCCTCCTCCTCCTCCTCCTCCTCCTCCTCCTCCTCCTCCTCCTCCTCCTCCTCCTCCTCCTCCCTCCTCCTCCTCCTCCTCATCTCATCATCATCACATCATCATCATCATCATCATCATCATCATCATCATCATCATCATCATCATCATCATCATCATCATCATCATCATCATCATCATCATCATCATCATCATCATCATCATAACCACCACCACCACCACCACCACCACCACCACCACCATCATCATCATCATCAGCATCATCATCATCATCATCATCATCATCATCAGCATCAGCATCAGCATCAGCATCATCATCATCATCATCATCATCATCATCATCATCATCATCATCATCATCATCATCATCATCATCATCATCATCCTCGTCCTCGTCCTCGTCCTCGTCCTCGTCTTCCTCCTCCTCCTCCTCCTCCTCCTGATCTTCCCCGCCATCCTCCCCCAAGTGTTCCCCAAGGGTTTCCACAACGGCTGGGGGAGCGCATGGTCGGATAGCTTGGAAGAGCTCTTGCCACAACGCTTGGCCACACGGGCGACTCCAAAAGGCAGGGGGCGGCGGTGATTCGCCGTAGGCGTCGTCGATAGTGGGCAGGAGACTCTCTCAGGAACGCCTTTGAATTACTGCGGCCAGAAAAAGGAGAACTGTCAAGCAGTTGATGGATCCCTCTGGCATGAACTAATGTGTAAGGATCTGAAGACCTCTTGGCGAACTCTCGTGACATCTTGGAGGGGAAGGGGGCGAGCGGGAGGAGGAAGACGAGTGAGGTGGGGAGAAGGAAGAAGAGTCCGCAGGCGTAGGCGGCGACAGCCGAACGCGTTCTGCACACCCACACTTCCAATGCACGGAAAGCTGCGATCCCAAACAGCCACATAAGAAAGACGTGCACTGGCGCCCGCCGGGCGCGCACCTCGGCCGCAATCCGCCCAGACGGCGACGTCCACGGACGATTTCGGGGCAGTCCTTCCGGGCTGCCCTCACCGGCTTCCCAGGCAGCGCCCAGACGTCGCGACGAGATGCTCCTGCCCATTCAGCCGTCGGGCCCAAATTGGTTTGGCGCTCACCCGCTTGATCCTTCTCTCGTGGATCAGGTCGGGCATGTCCTCCTACAGGCGGATTTTGAACGAAAAAACAAACATGGTCGAAAATGCGCACGGAATGATGAAACATAGTCGAAAAATCGTCACGAGACTATTGCTTGGCTATCCTTGAATCTTCCTCCTGTAGAGGGACATGCCCGACTTAACTCGTGGAATGCCGATCCGATCCTCCTGCCCCTCCTCCTCCCTGCCCCTGCCCAGGAGGTCCCCAGAATTCACCGGGGATCTCCAGACGTCCCTGGAGGTCTCCAGAGGTCCCCAGACGATTCTCTGGAGGCCTCCGGATAGGAGCTCTATGCTCAGGACCCGCCTTCGCTCAGAAAATGTCCTTCGAATTTAGCCGAGCGGGTGAGGGTCCAAAACGACTAGCCCATAAACTAAAAAGTTCTGGGGCGTCCAAGAGGGGGACGTCCAAGAGGGGGGGTCGCAAATCATTGCCCGAGGCATGTGCATGGACCAGGGGGGGGGGCGCGCCGGGAACGCATTGAAATAAGAAAGAGGGGCCATGAAATCCGCGGAGACATCATGGCCCCGACCATGAGATCCACCCCCCCCACCGGTCATTACCCCTTCTTGGATGCCCCCGATGTTCGAACCAGCCTCTGCCCAGACATCGGCCCAGAAAAGTGGCCGAGCGGGTGCCAGTCTCTGGTGGGCTGCCCTGATCAAGAAGCCCCCCCGAACGCAGAGCGAGAGCCACATCGCCCGACGGGGGAAATGGCGACGTCCGAACCCGACCCCCCCGCAAACCATCGGATCTCACGGATCGATGAGGGGCGGGGGCCGGGTCACATGTCGCCACGTGTTCGAAGAATTCCGATCCCGAACCCCGCCGCCCATCGAGTTGCCTGGATCGTTGATCGGCGAGGGTATAGGGTTTGGCTTTCGCCGCCGAGTCGGGGAACCGGGCCCGCTCTTCGGCGATTTCTCGAGCGCCAGGGGGGCGCCTTCCCCATCCCAGGGCGTCTCGGCGACAGGCCTACGAACCTCGATCCTCGACCCCTCCTCCCGGGCAGGTGCGATCAGTCACTGCACCGACCTTGCAGACGTGTTGCAGCGGACTTTTGCGCGGATTTCTGTCCACGCAAAACCCCGAAACGGCAAGTAAAAAACGACGTGAATTCCGCGTGGATTCTTTTTTTGGTCGTCACTCCTGGCCAACAAAAAAATCCGCACGAACTTCACCTCGAAATCCGGAACGAATTTCTCCAGGACACTCCGGGCCCATCCTATCGTTTTCCGAACGAGATCCGCTCTGTGATGTTGGCGCCATGAGATCAAGCCAGGCCAGACTTCGGGGATCTTCTGACCCGGGTCAATCCAGACCCGGATCAGCAGGAAACCAAAAAACTGCAATGCAGGAAAAAAACTGCAACGCAGGTCTTCGCAAACCCGGGTCAGCCAATATGCGCGGCCGCCTCGCGGCCACTAGCGGTTCGCTAACCTGGGTCAGCCAGAGGGGGTCTTCGCAGGATCCTGCAGGATCCGGTGCCCTGCTGACCCCCGTTTGCATTGAACCCCGTCCCTTGAGCCCCAGAGCCGCAGCACGACCTTTCGGGGCTGGTCGGGCCACCCGTGCTCCACGTCGACGAAAGCGCCGGTGTCCTCGAGCCGCGGAGGCAGGAGGAGGAGCATCGAGGATCGAGAAGGAGGATCGAGGAGGAGGAGGAGCATCGGGGAGGAGAAACGAGGAGGAGCATCGAGGATCGAGGAGGAGGAAGAAAATCGAGGAGGAGGAGGAGGAGGAGGATCTCGGGCCTCCAGAGGCCTTCTGAGAGCCTGTCCCCTCCTTATGAGCTCTCTACCCTCTCCCGCGCCCTCACGATGCCCTTTGCCTTCCCCGTTCCCTCCCTCCCTCCTTCCCTCCCCTCCACCACACCGCCCCCTACTTCATACCCCTCCTCCTGTCCTCTCCTCCTCTCATCTCCTCGTCCTCCTCCCCCCCTCCATCCCTCTTCCTTGGAAGTAGCTCTTCCCTGTTTTCGAGCCGAGACGGGTCGGTAGGGCGGGCAGGGCGCTCGCCTGAGACTAGCCATTTACAGCGGAAGCCAGTCCACAAGAAACCATCCACGAGAAACCCAACCCTGAGACCCCAGGACGTCCCTCAGTTTTTGGTGTGGGAACGTCGCGCTTTCCACAGCAAAACCATCGAGACCCAAG